ACACAAGCAATATTTTGTGCAATTTTTGTAACAAATTATTTCCAATACTAACAATTTTTGTCACACTTAGGGTTGCAACCAGAACTCACATTCCAAATATTTAATTTATCTTGCGCAGTATTCGTTTGTTACATTTTGCTGGTATTAGCACATGCAAAGTTATGAGCCTTTAGATAGCAAGTAATTTCAGTTGGCTTTTTAAACCGACGAAGGCCAAAAATGTTTGACTGAAACGTCTTTCTATAAGTTGCTATAAGCAAATGTAAGTTTTAACTTTTGATTCTGGTTGGTGTCAAGATGATTTCAAATGTATAATTGTGATTTTACTGATGACAGTCCATCCCTGACTGCAATTTTAGCATTTTTTCTTTACATGTTATAATATGGGATGTATGTTTATGTAGGCTGATGATCATTTCCTATTTAATATGATGACAAATTACAAATATGTTTGTTGGACTGGCACATGTGACAGAAGGAACTAGACACTTGTTGACCAGTCACGAATAGCAGCATTTCCAGGGTGATAGCAGCATACTTGGCTGAGTCCTCCCTTAAACCTCAATCAATTTGTGTAAATCTCTTAACTTAAATGATTTTTTTTTATTTTTAATTGATCTTAGGGCCTAGGTGCTTATTGCGTAAGCAAGACTGCTCTACTAGGTTTGACAAAGGTTTTAGCCAGTGAATGCTCTCCTAAGGGTGTCAGGGTGAACTGTGTGGCACCAGGTATCATCAAGACAAAATTCAGTGGAGCAGTAAGTGAAAAGAAATGTTATTTTGGCTGCAAAAGGAATTAATATATAAATATAGGCCCTTTGTAGCTAGGCCATACCGTGACCTACTTTTCATAAAAGTATGGGTTGCACCTTAAAGAATGCCAGAAATGGAAAAAGCATGTCAAAAATATCAAAATGGCTAAGTTTGAGGCCCCTGGCATGAAAGAATGAGATTTTATGACAGTTTGAATTTTTAAAAAACTAAGAAGATTTGTATGGAAAAAGTTGCTGGAGAGCAAGACCTTGCTCTCCAGCAACAATTTCCATAAATATCCTCTAAATTTTCCAAAAATTCAAACTGATGAACAAACTTGCTCTTTAATATATGCCAGGAGCCTCAAACTTGGCCATTTTGGTATTTTCGATATGCTGCTTTCATTTCTGGCATTCCTTTAAGTTATAGCCCATAATATATAATATTTTTAGGAAAACTTTGGTTGCGTGACCCCAGCTGCATAAGGGCCCATTATTAATAAGCTTGGTCATTTCCAAAAATATCCACCATGTACATTGTACAAAATTTGACAAATTCCAGAGGAACATAGTGATGTTAGCTCAATTATTCTCATCTTAGGATGTTTTCCACTGCATGTGAATGTAAAAAGGATTAATTCTAACATGAGCATTTATTTTAAGGGTAGTGTCTGTTAGACCAACTAGCAATCAGTGTATAATACTGAAATACTTATTTCATAAACATGAATTTCCATGTTGTACTAATTAAGGATGTCTTTTTTTAGCTTTGGAAAAATGAAGCATTACATGAACAAGCACTTACTCAGATTCCAATAGGAAGGCAAGAAACCATTTAAAACTACTTTTATACTCTGATAATTTTGCTCCTTTTTTTCTCTCTTTTATAAGAAGCCATGAAGACCAGATTGTCTTTACTCGTATTTCATATTCCTGAACCTCAATAAACATTTAAGTTCACTGTCAATGATAACTTGTCATGTCTTGATGATCACAACTTCTGTAACTGAGTGTTTGTTTGATTCTCATTATTTAACATAAATTGTGCACAAGTATGCAAGTTTTTTTCAGGCTGCTATGAGTACACATGCATAGGACAGGGCTAGAAGTGCCTGGGTGCCATTGCATTTGGGTAACTGGAAAAACTTACTTTTTTCATATAAGTTTAAGTGCTGGGCACCCAGGATTTCATGGTTAGGAACCTTTGGGTTCCTCGTAATTTTTCTTAGAACACAGCCTTGATAGGGGGTATCTTTTTTCCTGTATGTGAAACTCTTTTTGGTTTTTCACTTTTAGATTGGGTGAATCAGAAGATATTGGTGGAGCAGTGTCCTTTCTTTCATCTGATCAAGCATCTTACATCACAGGAGAAACTTTAGTTATTGCTGGAGGGATGCACTCAAGACTGTGACTTCAGTACTTATCAAACTGTACCTTTATCATACTATCTTATTAAGATCTTAGTTGTTTCCAACATCTGTGTGTGAGTTGCAACTTAGAGAGGCATGCTACCTGAAACTGTAAAAAAATAAATAAAAATAGAAATTTATAGTGATTCTGTACTTAATTGGTGCCATTACTTGTGCTGTAAATCAGTGCGCTCTCTCAAACCACCATTCAGTGCTACTATGATGTAAAGTTTATTTCAAATGACAAGCCGCCACCAAGATGCATCTTATGGGAATACATGTATGTATCACACGGTCACCATTTTCATATTGCAAGGAAAAAAACTTCAGGCTACTTTTTCTGTGTTTGAAAATTTAATAGACTTAACATTTTACTTCAAATATTGCAGTGTGTGTGTGG